TTGCCGAATGAAGGCAACACAACAGGCACACATGGAGGCATCTTGGAGCTGGGTGATCCCTCCTGCGGGCTCACGGCCTTAGAATCCTTCACCCTACAAGGCTGTGGGTATCAAGCCTTCTTATGGCAAACCACGGACTGCGCCATCCTGGTCGCTGGAGTCTACATGAAGACAGGTGAAAACCTCCAGAGTGACACCAACGGCACTATTTTGGCCCGGCTCATGGCCCCCATCCAAACCACCCCTACATCCTCCTAGCAGGCAGTGTCACGAGCACCGTGCTGCCATCCAAGTTTCACTTTGAGGTCCTGTCAGGCAATGTGATTGACTATGCCCTCATTCACACCACGCTGGCCAGCACCACCGCCCTCACAACTGACTGGGCAATCCCATGGAGGCCACATACACTCCTCACCCTCCATCTCAACATTGAGGAGGCCACCAAGGAGTACCGCCAGATCCAATACTTCCCGCCACTCCCAGCTACGCCGGACATCAACTTCAGGCCATGGACAACATACCAATCCACTGCCCATGAACTGGAACTCTACGGAAATCCACCCAACAGCTCTGCGCAGCAGTGGGCTGATTGGATTTCTTGCGCAGAGCAGTACCTCCTCCAAGAACATCCATGGGCAGCTCAAGGCCGAGGAGCCAACTTGCATGCAGTCTTCAAACCCTTGGCATCCACCAAAACGGTTGGCATATGGAAAAGGGCAAACCAGCCTTTTGGGAGCAGCTCAAAATAAGATTCCAACTGGCCTTGAAACAACCGCAGCAACACGGAGGAGGACCCACTAAAGGGTTTTATGCAGGCTCTACATGATGCACCCAAGCACTGGATTGGCCCGCCAACCTGGGGACAGTTTCTAGACACCTGTCATCATTGGCACAAATATCGTGATTGCCATGCAGCCGACTTGGTCCAGCATAGCATAGGACACCAACTCCAGGAAGCCCAGCAGGCCGCCAACGATGAGAGCCACCTCCACCAATACAAAGAATGGCTGCAGCAAGGACAAGCCAAGGGATTGAAAGGGCTTTTCAGGAGCCTCCGCAGCAGTGAGCTTGCCTGGGAACGACCCTATCGCAATTTACCACCGGACGAAAGGATGACTCAACGACTTCAAGATTGGGGCCAACTTTGGACAATTAGACAAGACGACCAGACCCATGAAAGACCCAGTTTACAGGAACAAGCCAAGCTGCAGGCGCAACAGCTCGAACCCATCACGCTCAGCCAACTGACCTGGGTCCTCAAGCACTTGCCGGACAAAGCTTGCGGACCGGATGCGGTCACAGCCCAGCTGCTATGCACAGCCCCACCACTGGCAATAAGAGCACTCCTTCAGCTATTCCATATGATGGAGGCACAAGCACAGCTTCCAACACAGCAACAAATGCATATGATGGTGATGCTACCCAAAAACAGCAGCCAGACACCATGAAGCCTTGAACGACTACTACGACAAGAAGTTCATCGAGCCAATGGTCAGCACGGGGTCACATGCCTCATGGACATGTCCACCTTCTATGACACCATCAACCTGACCAGGCTCCTAACTGAAGCACTTCAACTTCAGTATCCACCGCTCCTCCTCGAAATGGCCATGCAGGTCTATACAATCGTAGCCGAGCAGGAAATGACGCCTTTCTTCAAGGTGCAAAATGGAGTACCAGCTGGCTGTCCTCAAGCGCCACTTCTGGCCAAAGCTGTACTGGCCCCAGCCCTCCAACCCTGGCAAGCAGAACGCCCCAAGATCTACCTTTCCAGCTGGGTTGATGATGTGGGCTTTGACACGGCCAGCACCACCCCAATGCAGGCAGCCAAGGATGCAGTTGCAGCGTACCGGGACCTACAACAAAGGCTAACCGAGCTGGGCTTACAAGTCAACCCAAAGAAAACCGCCTTCATTGCAACAGACAAGGCCACCGACCGAGAACTTCGCAGCCTCCTCCAAGACCATGAACCTCCAGTTGAAATGGTCATGAGTGATCTTGGCATAGATCATCAGGCGGCCAGAAGACGCAGAATCCCAGTCATGAAGCAACCAATCTCCAAGGCCAATGCTCGGAAGCTCAAGCTTCGAAGTCTGACGATACCTGCTCAAAGTGCGGCTTCGTCTTCACAGAGGGGGCATTCAGCCAGTTGCTCTATGGCATTGAAAGCCAAGGACTGGCGCCCGGGTATCGACAAGCCTTACGCCAAGCTATGGCCAAGCATCTCGGCCATCACACAGGAGGGATGGTTGACATAACCTACGACATCCACCGCAAGCGCTACATCGAGCCAGGTAATCAAATCCTCATTCACCACATCAAAGCCATCCATCACCTTATCCAGGCATGGCCCCCAGAGCAGCTTCCGGCTCTTGAACAGGCTTGGCACACCACTTACCAGCAACTCCAACCCAAGCAATACCCCTGGTACAGTGTTCGAGGTCCTTTGGCCGCTACCCTCGTGTACCTCCAGGAATGGGGATGGCAAGCGGCCGAACTCCTGAGATGAACCAGGCCAGAATCCAAGTTACTCCTAGCCAACGAGCTCAGGATCCAACAACCGTGGTGGCAGCTAGAGCAGACACTAACTTGAGAAGCACAGCAACAACGCATTCATCGGATAGCCAGCAAACCACATCATCAAGATCTCATCACCGGCCTGGACTGGCACACCTATCAACAGGTGAGGAAGAACCTGAAGCAGAAGCACAAACACCATCTCGACACGTGGGTCCAGGGAGCACTCCATTTCCGCGATGCAACCCAGGCCAAAAGCTGCCCCTTGTGTCACGTCCCTGCTACTCCCAAGCACATTCTGTGGTTGTGTCGCTGGCACCGAACTCAACCTCATGAAGAGATGCCTCCAGAATGGATGAACCGACTCACGTGCCATGATGAAGAACCGCTTTGACGCAACGGCGCCCCTGCCAAGGCCATGGGTGTTGGGCAAGCCTTGAGGTCCTTACACACCAACAGCACAATGGATGGGCTTTCACACTCGATGCCACGTCCTATGATCTGAGGAGTGCAATGTGGATCTTCGGCCTATGTGCGCACACCATGTCTTTGGGACAATTGCGGCGGCTTGGAGCCCTCACAGGATTGGCGTCTGGCAGTCAGACTGAGATCAGGGCACTACTGGCTGGACTTTTGTCCAACTTGCCACGGTCTGGGAAGCATGGCATCAAACCAGGAGCAGAGGACCCTTCCAGGACCTACTCCATGAGCTGCCGCCGCAGGAATTTCAACGCATCACGGTTCTCTATGTCAGCAAGAACGCCAGATGCCCCTGGCAACGAGCCACAACTACGACGGCGTCAACGGGACTCCGCCCTGGCAGCGTGGGAGAGGGCCAAAACACTCCATGATGCCAGACAGGAAGAATGGCAAGAAACATTGGATCAGGATCACCAGCTCATCTACAAACATGCCGTGCAGAGACTAAGGAAGATCTATGAAGACACCACACATTACATCCACCAGAAAGCACCACGGCACCAAGGCAAACAAACAAAGCAGCATAAAAAGGACCTTGTCAACCAATGCCGCAAAGCATGGGCCGAAAACCATCACCGATGGGAGCCTCACCGGAGTGGATTCCAATGCACTGCATGTGGCAGCAGAATGCATCAGGGCCTCACGGCTGAAATCCTGGAAACCAGACTCCAAGAAGATTGCCCACAAATGCTCATTGCAACCAGCCCGCTCTGCACTCAGAGGTTCTGCCGAAGAAACAAACCCGAGCCCAGCACATCAAGCAGATCCTGGCCCAGCAGTCTGCCCAGCCTGAACCAGGAAAGCGCCAGCTTGTTGAGACCACAGGGTACCTGAAATGCAACCAATGTGGTGTCAACATACACAAGAGGGTGAATGAAAGCGCTTTCATCACCTTCATTCAAAGCCCATGCGTGAACCAAGAGTTCACTGGCGCACACCCAGGCCATCCCTCGCATGCACTGTGGCAGGGGAAAGAGTCAAGTGCACACAGTGCGGCGCCCAGTGGAACCTAGAGGGGCAACAAAGGATCATTACCACACAGGCCCTTCACAAGGCCTGCAAGGGTGCAGCCCTCAAGGGATCACCGCCGCTCAGCGAGTTCTTCAAAAAGAAGGACACACCAGGCAGCGGCAGTCAAGAAGCTACAACAAGCCAGCCCGAGGAAGGCAAAACCCGACCCACGCCCAAAAGGCTCCATTTCTCCACCGAGCTGGATGAACAAGAAGCATTGCACCAGCAATTTGCTGCACTGGCCATGAACCCCAGCCTGTCAGCAGCAACGGTGGAAACAGCTCCAGCTTCCGAGAACAGGGCAGAAGCAACTGAGCACCAACTTGTCGACCTTGATGAGGATGCCCAGTTCACGGTGGACGATTTCTAAGTGATGAAATCACTGAGGACACCCACCTGAAAAGCCTTTGAGGACTGCAAGAACGCCTGAGCCGAGGTCCGGCCACTGAGGCAACAGCCCTAGCTTCACGGCCACCCGGGCCTAGGAAACCAACCACAACTTTAGAAGGAAAAAACTCCGTACATCCATCCATCCATCCATCCATCCATCCATCCATCCATGCATGCATGCATACATACATACATACATACATACATACATACACACACATACACACACATAGACTGGATTAATTGTGCAAAATCATATAATCCGTTTCCACAACTCTTGGTTCACCGAGTCGCTCTCCTTTGCAGGTGAGAAGAGCAGGGTTGATGCCCAAAACTTTCTCGAACGTTTGGCGCCACTACTCCCAAGAAAGGACTGCGATTTTACTTGGTAGAAGATATAAACAGCTTGTAAGAGGCGCGTGCATAATGGATACGCATGGATATGCAATGCACTGATACAGTATGACAAGGGATTTCAAGTGCGACTGCCATGACCTGCAGACCTACAAGATGGACGCATACCCAACTGATTCCAACTGCCCTAAAAGCCTTGGACACTTTGAGTTGGTTTTTTGGGGTCTGCCGTGATCAGACCGTTTGAGATGCAGATCTCGGGGCTGTGGCTTCAGGATTGCCCATTGCAATTGCCGTCGCTGCAGGCGAAACCATAGAGAGTTGGTGCAGATTAGTTTAGTAATGTAAGTTTAGTAGATGTTCAGAAGTAAGCACTTTTTTGTTGGTTTCTAGCAGGAACATCCCAACCAGACTCGATTTGTCTTGTAAATTGCAAGCACCCACAATGCAAAAACTTTCCTTTTTCCATTTGTGTCCTATCCAGATCCCGCACCTTGATATGGACGTTGCATGCATTCTTCCAGGCGACCGTGGACCACCTGCGGTCGAAGCAGAAAGAGCTCCAGGACATTGATGCCAGGCGTATCATGTCCTCCAGCTCCGGCTCTGCCTCCTCTGATGATCGTCCAGATCCCCTGAAGGCTCAGGTACAGCAGCAATCAGGCGGGATTCCGAACGTGAGAATGGCTGGGCGAACATGGAAGTAATCATTCCCTGGGTGGACAACCTTTGCTCCAATGTCATTTTTTCAGGCATTCTTCATGGATTTTTGGGGGTTCCATGGTGTTCTTCCATGGTGTTCGTTCTTTTTCGCAGCCGCCTACACGAGGGAGACAAGCACTTGAACTGTGAATGAATCATGCTGCATTCCAATCAATGATGCTATTGAAGAATCTGCTCCTTGTTCTTGCATGTTCTTGCTGGATCCGACTTTGTTCTCTCAACCTGCTGGGCTCAAGTCATTTTGGGCTGAAAACCAGCCGTGGCTGCCTGGCTCTCAGCCACCCTTTTCACTTTTTCCCCACCTAGCTGTCAAAGATGGCCAAGGCAGCTCTCACCGTGGCCGCCGTAGGAGGTGTGGCCTTTGTGGCACCGCAGGTGTCCATCACCACGAGGGGGACACCTGCGCTGAGGGGCCAGGTGCGAAGCCAAACTTCCAGCGGTTTCAGCTCCAATGCGGCAGCAGTGGCCCTAAGCAGTGCTGCAGTTGCAGTGACCGCCTTGAGACAGAGCGACAAAAAGACGGTCTTGAGAGCCTTTGAGACAGAGCTCGGTGTGACTCCTCCGTTGGGCTTTTGGGATCCCTTGGGCTTTAGCAAGTTCGAGAACCCCGAGGTGGCCCAGCAGCAATTCAAGCGACGGCGCATTGTGGAGATTCAACATGGTCGGGTGGCGATGTTGGCTTGCATTGGCTACATTGTGCCGGAATACTTCCGGTTTCCTGGTCTTTGCTCACCCTCTCAAGGCTTGGCCTTCACCGACATCCCCAATGGGCTTAAGGGCGCCGCTGCTGTGCCTTTGGCTGGCTGGTTGCAGATCATCACCTTTGTGGGTATCATTGAGGTTACCAATCTGCAGAAAGCCCAAGACGAGATCCTGGGTGACTATGGCTATGGAGCCTTTGGCCTTCCCTTCGGCAAGAAGATTGACGATCCTGAAAAGAAGAAGAAGAGCTTGACCGCCGAGCTCAACAACGGCCGTTTGGCCATGATGGCGATCATTGGCATGTTCTACCAAGACGGTTTGACTGGCTCTGCTTGGGGTGACTGGGCCAACTATGCTGATTCCCCATTGCGAGCCTTTGAGAACGAGACAGGTGTCCAGCCTCCTGTGGGCTTTTGGGATCCCTTGGGCCTTTCCACCAGCGGCAACCAATCGGACTACAAGAGACGGCGAGAGGTAGAGCTGAAGCATGGCCGTGTCGCCATGTTTGCGACCATCGGCTACATCTTACCTGAGTATTGGAGGTTCCCCGGATATTTGTCGAAGTTCTTGGACATCAAGTTTGCAGATGTGCCCAATGGTCTGAGTGCCATTTCCAAGGTTCCATCTCTGGGCTGGCTGCAGATCGTGGGCTTTGCTGGCATCGTGGAGCTCAACGTCTACAATGAGGAGGTGAATGGTGAGCCCGGCAACTATGGCTCGGGATTCCTGGGACTCCGCTCCGTTGGGGTCATGAACAGTGGCATTGCCGACCCGGAAATCCGCAAGAAGAAACTCAACGCCGAGCTGGCCAATGGTCGTTTGGCCATGATGGCCATCATCGGCATGTTCTTTCAGGATGGCCTCACGGGAAGCGCATGGGGAGATTGGGCCAACTACACCGACTCTCCTTTGCGCTAAGAACGGTGACATGTTCGCAGACGACGCGTGGGAAGAAAGGTTCGGAGATGTCGCAAGGTTTCATGCAGAAAATGAGATGAACATGAGTATTTATTATGTACAGTATAGATATGTATAGATCATATGTGTCTCTGTCATTCTGAATCAAGAACACATTGCCGTCGCAATTTTGGACCTTCTGTCTGGATTCCGCCCAGGAGTCCTGAAGCAACATGCAGATAAACTTTCCAGTGCTTTAGAGGCAGGGTTGAATCATGTGACCAATTGCGTAGCGACCTTCAAACAGCGGACGATCCATGAAGATCCTTTCGATTCAAATTTGGCAGGGCACCTCTGGGCTGTTTTCTGCTGGTTTTGGTGGCCGCTGGCTGTGCCTGATTCAAACACCACTTGCCAAAAGTCTGTTCTCCTAAGCAAGTCAAGTGTCATTGCATTCTCAATTAGAACATCACAAAGAGTGTTGCCATGGATGTTTGTGCCTTCATAGAGAGGGTCAGCTTAATCTTAAAGATCGTAGTATGGTCGTCCACCTTCGCCAGGTTGGCCGCTCCTTGTTGATCGCTCTTCAGCAGAAGGGGCCAGAGACGGACCGGCTGCCGGAGAACTGGTTGGAGTCTGCGGAGGCGCGGAGATCATCTGAGAAGCAGAGGCAGCAGAGCTCAAAAGATAGACACCTATTATTAGGCTCCAACCTAATAGCAATGGCCTCCAAAGCAAATACTGTTGAATCACATTCTTTAACATTCTTCTACGGCAGATTCACTTTTCTAAAGATTTGGTCTTCACCACCACCTTTACCTGAACAAAATTGTTTGAACACTTTTTGAGCACAGGGTCTAGCCGTGTGGGGCCTTGTGTTCTGCAAAGTTGCTATAGTCTTTGGACTATAAATCAAGGTATGAACAGGTGGGCACGGATGTGAAACAATCTTTCCAGGATTGGCAGATAACGCAGGCGATTGCACATGTGCTGAATGTATATAGTATGTGTCCCAATAAAGTGTCAGGTCCTGGGGTCTTGAATGATTTGCATAAGTGACTGGGTTGGAATGACTTGATCTTGACACCCCACTTGAGCCTTGAAGACTTGGACATGTATATAAGTAGGTTTATCGACCGTTTGCCTTGGAATATCCTTGTGTACAAATGGACATCTTTGACACTGGGTGAGCATGTCACATGTCCAAAGGACGACAAGAACAGGCTCGGACACCAAATATTGCATCCCGGATGTTAATCCTCGGTGGACGGAACAAGAGCAATTCACAGAGGCAGCATATCCATTTTTGAGGCCGTGGCTCTGGCGGGCATGATCGATGAGGTCCTCCAAAGCATGAGGACTGCGTTGGGCTTTGGTGGTCTAGTAAATCAGGCGTGACTCGGGGCACACAGACCGGGGGCTACTTTTTCAGAGGAGGTGCCATTGGTGTGGGTGCTTTGGGGTTGACCTGGAAAGCTCTTTCCAGCAGATGGTATCCGGAAAAGACCAGGTCGAACACGAACTTGCAAAGAGATCCAACGGACCTGCTTGTCGATCGATACATGTGAAGCACACCCGAAAACGTCTCCGGGTGGAGTGTTGAAATGGAAGGTCATTTTTAGTGTTGTATCAAAATGCTAAGGGTATGCAATGACAAGTCCGACTTCGGTTGCAGGGTCTGCCTTTTGTCCTAGGGGTATTGGACATTTTGATGACCTGACATTTACATGACTCCCACCTTTGTGTTGGAAATTCCGAAAGACCTGTCTTCAATCGTAAATAGACTTCCATAGACCATACTGAGTATAGTGGCTACTTGTAGTAGATATGCCTTGACATGGCCACTGGCGTGCGCGGAACACCTCAGGCTTCCTCTGCACGTAAAAGATATGCTCTGGTAGGATCTATATTATAGTGACATGCAAAATATAGTGACACAATTGGTCACATGCGTTGTATCGTTTGCGCCGTCCGCCAGGACTCTGGCTCTGCGTTTGAAGGATGCACGGCCCACTCCACTTGCCGAAGCCCGCAAGGGGACCGAAGCCGAGGAGGCAGTCCCACGACGCTCCTCACAGGGGCGAGGAGGAGATGGCTGTCACCTGGAGTCCCAACACACTTTGTTGAAGGATGTCCCAAGTAGCGTTCTTGCTCCTAGTAGTAAGGCCAGGAGCCCCTAGTAGATCTGGGAGCAAGACCTTTGCCTCCGCATCATCCATGCGAAACGGAGACCGATCTGACACTCGCTTGAACCAGACCCATTGGGATTTTGTCTCAGGTCGCGGCTTGGGTCGCCCGGCCCGAGAAAGACACCCCAGGAGCGCGGTGACGAAGAAATTCGACGTCCGAAAGAAGGAAGAGAAGGAGAAGCTTTGCCCCGGATTCAGTCGATTGAGCTCAATGCTGGAGAGTAGATTGTTGAGGAGTTCTATAGTTGTACTGTGCTTGAACCGTTTTCTTATTGTAGAACAACATTTGCTTTTCGTCTATCTGATCTTAGGACTTCGGTCCTTGCTATGGAATTGGGTGTAAGGGCCTTATGAATCCTCATCTATGCCACACGATTGCAATAATTAGACACCACTGAAACTGATTACGAGCTGACTCGGGCCAGGCACTGCCAAGTGCAAGTGCACTTCCAGAAGAAACATACACTTCCAGGAAAACATACACTACACCTCTGAGCATCTTGAAAGGTTCTCATCAAGCCCCGAGTGAGGTGGGGAATAGTGGGGCTGGTCGGCTGATCAGTGCAGATGTAAGGCGTGACAAGTAAACAGCAGAGATTGTAGTGGACAATTTGGGGCTTCCACCACAGTGATTCCGTGTGGAGAATGACCTGCACGCAGGAAGAAGTTCTTCCGGGTGCATCGTCATCCGCTTGGTTTTGAGCCTAGAGGACAAATTCATCAAACTGAGTGATATCGGTCTCACAATAAGCCACTAGATAGCAGCCACCAGATTGCATTCTCTACTCTTCGTTCTTTTCGAGTGTTGCAAACTGAGGGATGAGAGGCAAACTGTCCCAGCAAGCCCTCAAGAGGCCAGAGGAAGGGGCTTCAAATCGGACTTTTTGTTTGTCATCTTCCTTAAAGGTAGCGTGAATGCACGCCATTTCTGGCAATTCTGAATCAAGTGTGCATGATCTTCATTTTCTAGGATAGCTGAGGAAGTGTTCATGCAGTTCTGTGTTGTCATTGTTCCGCAAATATGATATTTTCTGGCTGTTCTTCTTCTGGTCACAAGCTGTTTTGCTCCGAGACCTTGGACCACAGCTCCGATGAGACTCATGATGAGGCGCGGAAGGGAGGGGCTGGGGAGTTTGTTGGAGTTGATTCGGAGGCAAGTCAGGCTGCAATCGGCTGCAAGACAGAACGGACGGACAACGCGCCAATGACCTGTTGGCACAGAGTTCTTCTGCTGCAAAAGCTCACCCTGCATACTTCTGGCCCGCAGCTAACTGAAGAAAACACCTGAGCTGCGCATGCAGGAAGAAGTTCTTCCGGATGCACACTCGTTTTGGGCTTAGAAGACAAGTTCATCAAACTCATATCGGTCTCGCAATAAGCCACCAGATAGCAGCCACCAGATTGCATTCTCTACTCTTCGTTCTTTTCGAGTGTTGCAAACTGAGGGATGAGAGGCAAACTGTCCCAGCAGGCCCTCTAGAGGCCAGAGGAATGGTTTTTGGTAGGTTTTCCATCGTTTGATCGAGACATTTGCACATGTATGACGCATCTTCTTTAAGGGTACCTCCCATGAATGTACACCGATCTTTGTCGCAAGTCCGAAGAAAGCGTGCATGGACTTTAATTGCCACCATAGGTGGAGATAAACTTGAGCCAGCAACTCTTTCAGCGAAGACCTACATCTTGCTGTTGGCAGTGAAACGCTCACTCATGCATTTTCGCAACCAGTGGCTAGGTGCAGCCACCTGTGGAAGAAGATGAGGATGGGTGTAGAGCGCCGAAAAAATGGGGTATCGGGTGAGGACGACTCCTGAACCAATCACCAGCTGGATGGCCAGATGTTCTTGAGACACAACATATTGAGACGAAGGATGAAGCGAATTCTGACGTCGGATGAGCTCCAAAAGCAAAAGTTCCGTGACTCGTCCTGACTCGTCCTGACTGGCAACGGGGGGTGACCATGAACCTGAAATGTGTCAGGTCTGTGTTGCGACAAACACAGAGAGCTGTGCGATTTTGGCGCTGTTCTTTGCAACCAAGCTATCGCACTATCCTTCCTCAACCAAACATGGAAATCGACTTAGCAAATGATGGCGAAGACGAGCACTTTCTTCTCTTAATTACTATTTGTCTTGGATGGAGGCTACAGAAGTGTGGGCCGCAAGTGAACTACAGCTTCTCGTTGCAGGTGGAGCTGCCAAGTTGGTGGCCCAGGCCGGGACGCGTTGCATTGAACAGAGTTATGACTGTCCTGCAACCCAAAGCAACGAGTGGAAGAACCAACAGTCCGAACCCTCATTCATCATGCCCAAAGCAGCGAGAGGTTTTCAAGTTTTGGGTCGATGCCATGAACAAAGATTGAGACGGGTGATTCTCCACAGCTCATGATCTCACAGGTGAGAGGCCCAGCGGCCCACCCTGGCAGGTGCGACGGAGTGCTGATGCAGGAGCGAGGAAAAGACATGAGGCTATTGGCTATCCATCGGTGATTCTTCGAATCCCTGGTATTCCCGGGTGTTTCCCATAAGACCCAGAGAGTCTTGTGCATCCCAAACCTCCTCGGAGTGTTTTTCAGGTATTTCGATGGTGTTTCGAAGGTCTTTTGCACTGTTTTCACTTTCCATCTTAGTTTGTTGCATCGAGCATGTAGGAAATGTGAATACTGGCGTTTGAGCTACCAGAAACATACACTGCGGTGAACCATCTAATTATATATATTAATATATATATATTCTCAGGGTCTGGACTGGACTGATTCGAACGCAGGGTGGTGCAATCCTTTGCCCAAACCTGGCTAGGAGGCCGCATCACTGAGTGACGGCCCGGTCTTTG